AGGGAGGGAGAGAGAGGAAGAAAGAAAGAAAGAAAGAAAGAAAGAAAGAAAGAAAGAAAGAAAGAAAGAAAGAAAGAAAGAAAGAAAGAAAGAAAATAAAAAATGAGGTTTTGGTGAGAAACTGGATAAACTGGAACCTGTGTGCACCACTGAGAAAACTGTGAAAGGTTCAGCCACTTTGCAAAGCATGCTAATTATCCCTGTGAGAATTAAACAGGTGTGTGCTGCCTGCACTTTTCAGCACTCAGAGACGGAAGCAGGAGGAACAGGAATTCAAGGCCATCCTCAGCTACACAGTGAGTTTAAGTCTAGCCTGAGCTACATGGGATCTCATGTTTTTAAACACACACACACACACACACACACACACACACACACACACACACAGGGCCAAAGAGATGGTTCCATAGGTAAAGACACTCAACATCAAATCTGATGACTTGAGTTTGATTCCCGGAACCCACGTGGTAGAAGGAGAGATTCAACTCCTGTACGTTGTCCTATGACCTCTACATGTATTCCATGGCATGTACACACACATCCACACAGAAAAATCAATCAATAAGTAAATGTAAATAAATAAACTAATATAAACCTAGGATAACATATGATCCAGCAAGCCCACCTCTGGATGCATTTTCGGATGAAAGATCCCAAAGAGATATTTGTACAGCTTGTCCAATAGCAGCAATATTCACAGTATCGGAAAAGCACAAACCACCATACTGTCCACAGACAGGTGAGGGGATGAGTAAAAGATGGCATGTACTTACTGCAGAACATTACTCAGCGAAGACAAGACAGGAGAAGTCAGGCATGTGCTGTGATACAGATGAATCTTGAGGTCATTACACTCAGTGAAATAAGCCCAATGTAAAAAGATCAGTGTTACCTAGACATGGTAGCTCATGAATATAACTCCAGCATTCAGGAGGCTGAGACAGGAGGATTGTGCATTCAAGGCCAGCCTGGGCTATATAGTGAGGCTCTGTCTTGTAAAACAAAACAAGAAGAAGAAAAAAAAGAAAGAAATGGAAAGCCAGACCAGTAGTGCTGCTCTATTTATTAAGGTCCTAGAGCCATTTGAGGTGTGGATACGAGAAGCAGCATCAGAGATGCTAAGGGCAAGGGGAGCCACGTACTGAGTGTGTTCTGGGACAGTTTCCACAGTGTGGAAACATCATGTGCCACATGATGAATGTGCTCTGTGTTGCTAAGTTATGCTCCAAACACTTCCGATGGGAAAACTTGTGTGGCCTCTATTCTAGTACAATTAAAGCTGTTTATTGGGCCTGTGAGATGGGTCGGTGGGGGAAGTGTTGCATTGAAAGTCTGACGGCCTGAGTTTGACCCCCAGATCCCATGGCGGAAGAAAAGAACTGACTCCAGAAAGTTCTCCTCTGATCTTTTGTTGTTGTTTTGTTTTGTTTGTTATTTGTTTTTGGTTTTGGGTTTTGGGTTTGTTTGTTTTTTTTTT